CTGGTCTTCCCACGCGTGTATTTCATTAAAATCAATTGTTTGACCAAGCTCTTCTGGACCATGGTTGTTTGTACTCTCCTTCCTCAATATTTGAACCCTAACACATGCTGCTATCTTTGGAGGACTGTGGCAAAATGTAAAGCATTTGGTAGATGCCTGTTATCTGGTTATTATGGAGGATAAAATAAATAATGTGGAAGCTCTGTGGCATGATGAGAGCCATCTAAACAAGTACTTTTGGATTCATAAACCAAGCAGGCTGCTGTCTCCAGAGTACTGCTGGGACCAGAGCATTTGGGACAAGCGTGATATACTTGTCACCCGTCTAGTGTGGGAACCAAAACATTATGACACACTTTGTAGTGGGTAGACTGGACAGGAAATTAAAATTAGAATCCTTTTGTGACAGAAGTGCAAGCTTGTTGTTGATTTTATATTGGTTTATTTTTATGTTTATTGGTTTACACATTCACCAAGCAGTGCACCAAAGGACAGCCACCTCGCCCCCCTCTCCTCCACCACCAAGCAAACGGCCTGTGTTTCTGATGGTAGCTTTGAGTGTTTCTATGTGAAAACCTTAGACAAACTTTTCTTAATGAGCATAAATCAATGTGTGTGCTTTTGTTTTTTAATGGTATATGAGCCCTTTGGAGTGAGAAGCCATTTTCTGTTGAAACCTGTTGGAATTGGTATTTTTTATATTATCATTTGTGCTAAGATATATAGCTATAGAATCGTTGCCTTTATGTGTCCTAATATGGCTATCATTATGAAGAAAGAGCCAGACAGTCAGAGGATTTATTTTCAACCTTCTAACATTTCCAGTATCTGTGTCTGTGCTGACAAAATGTGCTTTCTTTATTTAGAATGCAGCTTAGTGTAGAGATTAGCTATGTTACACATTTGGAAAGTACCATGTTCTGTTCTTTTAAGGTGCAAGACTTCACACCTTTAACTGTTCATTTGAGATATGACCTATTGCAAGTTCCTGTTTTTATAGGTTAGCAAGACGCTTACTTCTGCTTTGACCATACCTCATACACACAAGTTAAGTTCATTGAAAGATGGTATGTCTATGTATGGTATGGCTGAAAACACACAGACACACATGCACACCCACACACAGAGAATACAGACATTGATGTTGCTCAGATATGCCTGCTTAAGACTGTCACGTGTATTTGTAATTGCATATTCATGTATGTGACAATAAAAATGGCAGTGACAAGGGAGTCAGTCAAAGTTGGCCGAGTTCAGATGAAGGAATCTTTTCCTCAACTTTGGCTAGACTGGCACCACAAAACACTGTGCAGATGATGGTCTTGTGTTCCAGCGGGGTTTGTGCCTAGATAAACCCAACAAAACCCATTTTATCTTATTTTCCACAGTAGGAATTTAGGCAAGCAAATTTTCTTTTGTTTGACTTGGCAACATTAGGGACCTTTAGAGATCTTTTGTTCGTTATTTTGGCATAGCTCAGTGCTGAAGTCAATAAACAGCTGTATAGCAGTTGCTCAGAATTTTGTCTCTTTTATTGGATGGAGTTGGAGTGGAGGGTCATATTTCCCATTAAGACCAGATTAATCCTTCCCCAGGGATATAACAATCAAAGTTTCCATTTTTCCACTACCTACTATAGAAATATTTATTCAAACATTTGTCTAGTCAATGAACTACCAGAACTTTCTTTTCTTTTTTACACATTTATTATGTAGAAAAACTGAGACTTGCAGTTAAAAAATTGTACATCTTTTCCGCATATTAGACCTTCTCAGGGAACTGTAATTAAATGTCTGGCCCTCAAGATAAGTGTGTGCTGTATTTGGGGGATGATGTAAAAAAGTTTTCCCATATCAACTTAGTAAACACAGAGAGAAAGCTGGATTCAGTAATACGAGACATTACTAATAAATATGATCTTCTAATCTAGCCAACAGGATTTGTGGTCCCTCTAAAATCTGTAGAGGAAGTCTGTTTAACTCTTGCGTACGTGTCAAATGACTAAACATGTTAAGACTTACAAGTTATTGTGGAACCTACATGAAAATGAAATAGTGTATTTCAGCATATTCACAATCTCACCCCTGAACCACACACCCCAATACTTATCTTGGACCAAACCTGTGTCATTCTGCTGACCTCAGATCACCTTAGACCTGTCCTGCTGTGGATAATGATGTATTATTCATAGGCTGCCACCATCTGGCACATCAGTTTACCCAGCCACCTTGGCAGTCATCCTATCAAATACAAACAAGCAAGGAAGGGGCAGTAATCAGAACAGTCCTTACTCTACCCTCTGTAGTGTCCGTGCCAAATGAAGATGAATTCAAGTTAAAAGATTTCAGACACTGACTTATGTGAAAGGATAAAATTTACTATTTGGACTAATGGACCAATTGAGAGGGGCTAGATCTTTTATAAATCCCTTTTAAATAAAACCTGTCACCACAAGGTGGAGCTCAAACCACAACAATAAAAGGGAGAAGAAGCACAAACTATTTCCCACACAAAGGGAAATGCAAGATGACTGCTGTAATATCAATACCAACAGAGACTTGTATAGAAGTATATAAGAAACAAAGAAAGAATATAAGAAAATGCAGAGATTATACTGCTCTTAGCTATATAATTCATTTAAAAAGTTTGAGCTCATTCTTTTATCCTTGGAAAGAAAAAAAAACATCATGCTAAATTTACAGCAGAGTTATTAAGCCACCTAAACTGACAGAAAAGCTTTTTAAAAAATATAAACTGTGCTTTATTTTTTGAGGTTTGACAGAATTCTTTAAATATAGAAGTTTTACTGGATCTGACTAATAACCAATTATTATGCTGAAGCAGCACCAAGCTGGACAATAGGTCATGTAATCAAATAAATAATAAATAATTCATGTAATGACCACTACATGGTGATATCTGTTTAATTTGGAAGTTTACTGGATGATTACTGTTTACAAGTTCCTCAAATTCCTCTTCATCAAGCTTTACCTGAACATTGTGTGTGTGTGTGTGTGTGTGTGTGTGTGTGTGTGTGTGTGTGTGTGTGTGTGTGTGTGTGTGTGTGTGTGTGTGTTTGTTTGTTTGCAGAGCGCATAAGTGCATACTGTGCATTTTTAATAAAGCCCACAAAGTTCTCTGTTGTGGCGCTCATAATCTGCAGAAACAAAAACATGAAACATGACCTTGTTTCAAATGGTTGCGCTCAAACAAGAAACACAGCTCACAGCACAAATTGTTTGTGTCTTCATTTGTGCTACAAATAGAAACAGTTGAGCCTCAGGTTGGGGGGCCACATAACACTCCATGTGTTGTCTGCTTTTAAGAATTAAAAATCAGAGTCAAAAGAAGAGGTCAGGTTAAACAAACAAACTATGATTGTAGACTTCTGATGTTTGACTTATATGTGAAGATTATATATGAAAATATTAACTTTTGCCCCAAAAATTTATATACCTGAAAATGATTGAATTAACATACTAACAAGTATACTAACAGATATACTAACAAATTACATGTGTGTGCGTGTGCATGTGTGTGTTTGTGTGCAAACAGACATATTAAGACATCAGACTGGATTGTACCAAACATGCATTTTTTTGTAGACTCAAATTTTACCACTAGACAATTTATGGTCTAATCATGAAAATATTATGCAGATTCATGGTATATAATTCAGATATTCACTTACAGAAGTGTATGCGTGCATCAGAAAAAAATTGTTTTATCAAATATACAACTACAGTCTACTAAAAGTACACAGAATAAAAATGGTTTCAAATGTATGCAATTCTAGCAGACCTTCTGTATAAATAAATAAACATCTACAATCAAATGCTATTTTGTAAAGGTTTTAAAAGCAAAAGTTTAAGGTCTAATGTGCTTCCTGACACGGCGAGTGGAGTGAGACGTGTGAAGATGATAAAGGAGGATCCAATCGCAGGCACTTGTAAAGGTGTGAAGGTGGTTTATTGAACACAAAACACAAATAGAAAAACAGCAAACGGGACTGCAGACTATCTAAACTTAGAACAACTAAACTACTAAACACGAATCAGAACACGAACATGAAGGAGGATGGGCAGAGGTAAATGACGACGGACATCAGGGAGAACACACGACTGGAACATGGTAGATACACAGACGGACCAGCGACTACTACAACAGAACACACGACTTAAATACACTCAGAGAAACACAGGGAGATTACACACAGGTGGGGGACACAGCTGGAGTAATTAACGAGACGAGACAAGGGAGGTAAAACTGAATACACTCACATGAGACGCAGACCTCCACAATAAAACAGGAAACAAGAAATCACTACACAAAGACGCAGACTGGACACAGATCAAAACCCACACCAAACATGAGAACACAAAACCTGAGAGTAAAAACCAAAACCAGAATCACAGAAACAATAGATAAATAATAATAATAATAATCAACAAAGCACCAGAGAACAAAAAAACGATCATTCAAAAATAAACCAAAACAAGAGAACTCAAAATGCTGGGTTGAACCGACCCAGAACCGTGACACTTCCTGTCTTACTATGAAATGTAGTTTTCCATTGTGTTTTTTCTAACTTTCTGTTTTGCCTCTTTTCATCAAACAGTACACTTGGTGACCATGTTAGTTGATTGTTAGTTCAAACGTATGAAAGGTGACTAAAATATTGTAATTTTATTTTTGTATTTTAACAGAAACTATAGATGAAGAAAGAGCATTTTGTCATTAAAAAACTCGCACACAGACACAATTCGGTTTAACATACTGTGCGAAGCAATCTTCATCAAAGTGTGCACTGCTTTACACTAATGGCACACTGAGCTAAGTACAGTGTATGACTTCAGATGCTGGAATGAGAATTGTAGCAGGAGGTGGAGGGTGTGTCCAAAGATTCCATGGATTACAGAGCAGAAAGCATTTTCTTGTAAATTCTTTTTCCATACAGATCTTGCTTAGGTGTGAATTTTTTGTTTCCTCAAGTTAATTATAAGGAAAACAAAAGTCTTTTGTGCCCCAGACACATTTATGACAAAGGTAATGGAAACTTGAAGTTCCCTTGCAGGTGTTGCTAAATCTTCTATCAGGAACCTTGGGATAAATTGGTAACACTTTATAATAAGTGCACACTATTAAGCATTAGTTAATCATCTGTTAAGCATTAGTTAATGCTTACTTAATTCTCTCTACAGCATCTACAAAGTATTTCTCATAATCAGTTAATAATTTTCAAGCACTGCTTTAAACACTTTATTCATGATGAATAAGCTAATGTACAACACTTTTTATTAATTAGCAAATCTGGAGACTCAGGGGTAACAGAAATGATAGACTACTGTCAGAACACCTTACAGTTATTGA